AGAGAGAGAGAGAGAGCTCCATGGCAGCATGAGCCTAAAATGCTTACCAAACTTGTTTTTCAAAATTCATCATCCATCTTCAAAATTTTCCATGTGTTTCATGAATTTTCAAAAACCTTAATTTCTTTAGTTAAAATGTAGCCTGAAACTCTGTTTCTATTTCAAAATTCAATATATCTTCAAAATCTTTTAAAATGTTTTTAAAAAACGAAGGAGTTTCATATAGGCTTGGATATGATATGTCTGCCGCTACCAAGTCCTTGATTGCCATGCTTGCAAACTCTTAAGAAAGTAGAGATTAACCCATAGGTTCCCAAACCAAAAAGCTTGAACTTGTGGACCAAAGAATCAGAATCAAATGCCAAGAAGGAGTTCAATTAGCCAGAAATTCATCATCTCATTATTTGTTCTAAACCAAAATCTCATTCAACTGGAGAATCTGACCTCAAGAAAAAGGTTTAAAGTTGAAGATGACTACATTGACAGCTTCCCAAATAACATTGGAGTGACTACAACAAGGAGTGTCACATGCTCAAAGTTAACACGGTTCCTGTTGACTGTCACTTTGGATCTCGATTGTCACTGACTCAAAGACAACAGTACCAATTTAACGTATTACAAATCAAAAGCATCTATCGGCACATCGCCTACCCAAATGGTACTAGTCATTCAAAAGAATGATCCATCGAAAAAATTTTCGCTCATCATATCTCAGGTGTCTACATATTTGTCATTCACCTAGTACCCTAAGTGAATGCCAAAGAATGGCAACTGTAGATAACCCCTTCAAAATTCAGGCTAAGGGAACTCCTAAAAACCTAGATTTTGAGTCTAGAGAATCACAAAATTATAGTAGAACATAAGCAACTTAGACCCAATTTAATTACCCCAAAACAACTCAAAACCTATCCCAACTTGAAGTAGACATCGAGAGCTTTCCAAATCTAAGAATCGCTTGAATCGGACATACGGATAAAACGATAGAACAAATCAAAATTTAGTCATGTGAAACCC